CCTGGATCTTTTTTCCTTCACTTACAGCTTATTCCAATTTAAAATTCTATTACTAGATTTTTATATGTGACACAGAATTTTGGACTGAATTGGGATTCATTCTCCATTTGCAAGATATTTTCATCTCCTTTAGGAATAAGGATTGAGGAATTAATTCTATGGGTCTATTTGGTTTGGCTATGCTTACAAACACTAATTTAGATGTTCTTGGTGAAGCTATTTTATTGATAAGATAAACATTTACTATAAGTTGAACCTAAATATAGGCTTACTCTAAATCATAATAAGCTTGATAACAATATGCCTGGGTTTTATAGAAGCCCTGGTAGCACAGCGGTTAAGTCCTTGGTTGCTAAGCAGCAGACTACTGTTTCAAACCTACCAGCAGTTCCATGGGAGCTAGATGTAGTAGTTTGTTTCCATAAAGATTTACTGTTTTCTTAGGCTGGGTTTTCTAGAGAAGCAAAACCATTGACACTTACGTATGTGACACACATGTATAATGAAATTTATATTACATGGCTGTAGAACTTGGCAAGCCCAAATCCAGGCGAGTCCCAAGTTTGTGAGGCAGATGTTAGGCTGGAGATTTCTCCTGACTCACATCGCTACAGGGGCTAATGGTCAGCAGGAAAACCAAAGGCTGGTGACTACAAAAGCAGATAAGTCCAAGGTCAGCTAGTCAGGCTGTGGCTGCACAGGTGATGAATCTGATAAAAGATAACAGACAGCAGGTCAGATAACAGGTCACTGATGACTCCTAGAATTGAAACTCCCAAGATTGGCAGGCAACATGGCAGGCTTTTGGCTCAAGTCCAAAGAACCAGAGGCCAGTGAGCCAGACGCAGGGTCCAGACCCACCAAAAGGGAAGTAAGTTTGTCCACGGTGTCCAGTTATATAGGAAGCAGGTCACACCTCCAAGGAAACTTCCTTTCAACTGACTGGGTCAGGGCTTGATTTGAGGAAGGGTGTCCTATCTAGGCCTAATCTTCTAACAATTGATTGATTGTGTTTACTTTGTGTCAGCTAAGATTATGGAGGTTACTGGAGGTTAAATGCAAAACCCCTGAAAATCCTTACACAGTCAAGTTGACAAAGTCCCTATCACACATGTCTTGGTAGCCTTATGGGGCAGTTCTACTCTGTCCTACAGAGTCATTTTGAGTATGTATAAACTTGATGGAAACAGGTTTGGGGTTTTTGGGGGGTTTTTTGGGGGGGTGTTGTTTGTTTGTTTATTTGTTTTAGGGTGATTGATTGCCTTTTGTGATGTGGGTGGACCTAATTAAATCAGCAGACAATCTTAATAGCTAAAAACTGAAGTTTCCAAGAGGAGAATTTCACAGTCATCCTCAAGATTGTAAAATAAATACCCTGGAAGAATTTCCAACCTTCCTAGTTAGAGAGGATTTTGGATTGTCAGCACCAA